CTGACACATAGTGGGCACTCAAATATTTATTGAATAAGTAAATGAGAAAAGGGGTAACAGGGTCATAAAAACAGAGGGACCATCAAGGTCCAAGCTGCCAGCCAGCTCAGGGCAGAGAAGAGAGCAAGCCTCAGGCAGAAGCACTTTGAGCCAGGAATGGAACACAGAGGTATCTTTGGCAAGGATATGAAACAAGGTTTGAGTAGGATGAAATTTGGAGGAATCTTTGGAGATCAGATGGATTGGAAGGGCATTATTACCTGGGAGGCATCCAGAGGCCAGGCAACTGCCAAGCTGACGATTCCTGGGCTCCGGCATCTGACTCCCCTGAACAGACTTTGGTCCAGAAAGCTGTGAAGGGTGTAGGGTTAATCCCCAGGCCTCTCCACCCCTGGGGTCTAGGATTACCTCGGCAGCCACCTTTGGAGGCCTCAGACTCTCAGGGGAAACTGAGATCAGTGGCTGTAGGGAGCTCAGGACCGAGGTTGGCAGACAGTAAAGGGAGGGGCTGGTTAATGGATAATGAGACAATGAACTTGAGACTGAAAAAGACAGACCAAGCTCCATCAACCGAAGTTGATATGAGACACCACCCTCCTCCTCCCCTAGATCCTTTTCTTCCCTCTTTTATCTCCACATCATCCCCATTCACACCCCATTGCAGACTGCCCTCCTCCCCCCAAGCCCAAGTTTCCTCTCCTTACCCCCATTTCTGGCTCCTCCTTCTGGGGGGCGATGTTGAAACTCTGGCCCCGGCCCCCCCACCACATTTCTCTGGCTCCATCCGGGGACGGAGCAGTTAAGAGTGGGAAACCTCGAGGATGCTCAAGCCCCTTGGGGAGAGGCTGAATCTTGTAGTTGAGAGGAGGCAAGTCAGGGCGAGGGGCAGGGGGAGGACTCAAAGGAAAGGGGTATTTGAGGTGCACAGAGCACGATTTGGGGTCTTTTGAAAGGTGTGTCCAGCCCAGCTAGAGGAGGCTCCTCGGAAACTTCAGTTGACTCTCGAGAGGGCGGGAGAGATGCCCGGCCCCTTAAAGGAGAATACACACAATTTTGGAAAAGAGAAGAGGAAGTGGAGAAGCCTGAGAAAAGTGAAGACAAAATGGGGAACTGGGAAAAAAATTTCCAGATTCCCTTCTTCACCCCAATCCCAGATCCTGTTCTCTTCCTGTTCATGAGCATTGGAGACTGTTTGAGGGAAACAGTAATACCAAGTATTAAACTAGAATAATTTGGGCCACTTCTCTGGACTCTCTCAGTGATGGCTTCCCTGGGAAGCTGTTTTCTTCTGTCTTCTTAAAGGGAGCCCGAGTTGGGGGATGGAGGGAGTGGGAGGAATGCAAAAGTAGTTCAGGCCTCCTTACTCCCTCCCCTGATAGACCTAACAAGTGGTTGAGAAGATGCAAATGGAAATTGGATCTCAGGGGATTTTTTGCCTGGGGAGGCACAAGAATTGGGGAGGGGGGTGAGTTAAGGTGTTTTTGCGTATCCTTCTCCAGAGAGCATGAAACATACCTCATGTGAAGGGTGCAGTGGAAAAGTAGGGAGAGAAATTGAAATATCTCCAGGGTGCAGACACAAGTACAGGTATGTTTACGTGCAAGTTCTTGGGGTGGGAGTGGGAGGCCCAAGGTAAAGATCTTACCACTACACACACACAAACCCACCAACCCACCCAACCAACCAATTGGAAACTATAGCCCACTCCAGGTACACGACTCCTCCCTCCAATCCAGACACCAAATCTCCAAATTAATGATTCATGTTGAGGACTTTGAAAGCTGAGGGCTGGAAACCTCCGTTCAGTTCAACAACCCCATCCCCCCACCCTCCCTCCCGCAACCCAAGAAGCGAAGATGGTGGGGAAGGCATGAGAGGGAAGTAAAGGAAATGTAGCTGATGGTGACTGGGGGTAGGAATGCAAAAATCTACATTTAGATATGAAAAAGACTGGAAATAAAATACAAAGTAAGAATTAATGAGCTGCTGTTTTATTGATTTTGAGTCTGTACAGAGGCAGCAATCCTTAGGTGGGGCCCCAGTTTTCCACAGTGACACTCAACTCTCTCCTCCCCCCAATACACACACCCTTCCGGCCTCAGCTTTAATAGGTCCCTGTCTTGGCTGCAACTGTGGAAATAGTGAAGAGGTTGTGAGACAGGAAGTCGATCTAGAACAAAGAGGCATACACCTGCTAGGAAGGTGGCCCAGAAGCCTGATTCTAGAAGTCCTAAAAGCTACCAAGTACCCCCAACCCCCACCTATATTACATGGGCCTCAATCTCTTGGGGGAAGAAAATACTTCCCAAGATCTGTTGCAACAAGAAGAGGTGTGTACCACAATTTTAAAATCCCCTTAGCTACTTTTCTTCTCCCTACCATCTTTCATTCAAGAGCCTCGTTCTATTCTTTAATACTCTGAGATGTAGGAGCAGCAGAGCAATATAGAGAAAAACATCAGGAGAATGGGGGAAAATCAGCGACAGAAAAAAAATGGGTGACTTGGATCAGCATCCAACCAGGAATGCAAAAGGGGCAGCAGCTGAGGGTTAAGTAAAAGGAGGACCACGTCTCACCCACACACATCCAGTGAAGGTTTAGTGGATGAAACGAAGGGTGGAGGGGCAAGGGGCTGTATCAGACTTCTCCATTTTCAGAATCCTGGTCTGGTTGCAGGTTTGTGCCAGGAGTGAAGGCTGCTGGGAGGGTAGCTGGAGGAGGGAGGTGGAGCTGAGTGAGTGACTCACCAGATGAGTCACAGATCCAGTTAAAAGCATAGAAAGAGGCCAAGGTCCTCCCCACCCCCATTCCTCTCAGCGCTGCTGTCAGCCAGCTTCCTTTCCTCTCTTCTACTGCCCCTTACTCACGTGGCCAGTGAAGGGAGGTGGCAGGGAGAATGTCTACATGGGGGACGTCATGATAAATATTTTGTTAATCAACTTAAGTACCTAGGGCAAAACACCCTGTGATTTTCAGACTGGGTATCTACAAAGGGGAAGAGACAGAGTGTCTGTATGACTCACTGAATCTGCAGTTGAAGGGCCTGGAGCGAAAAGGAAATTAGAAAAATCTGGGGTGCAGGTGATTCCAGGCCAGGCAGGGGCTTCTAATTCTGTCTTCTCACCTACGGCTGTGCATCTGGGGCACTGACTCCTTGGAGAAAGAAGAGGACACAGAGTCCAGAGGTGTCTGAGTAATTCAGGGACAATCATCTCTGAAGCCCCTTTATTGGGAAAGAGAAAATGTGACCGGAACTTTGGACGTGTCGCTGTTTAGAAAGGAGTAAGAGGAATGGCAAAAGCTAGGTTCTCAGAAATCATTCAGAACCAGCTCCATTCTTTCTGGCTCAGTATCACCTCCCAAATATACAATACAAAGTCAGTGCTAATTTTTGTTTGTTTTATTGGTATGTGAGCTTTACTTTCCCTTGAAGAAGAAATTGAGCCAACAGGAAAGGGAGGGCACTTCCCTCCAGGCCCTGTACAGCACTGAGTTTAACACCATCCCCACTCCATAAAGAGATTGAATCTTTAAAAAAAATTTTTTTTGATACAATCTTTTTATTTTGTTGATAGAATCCAGTAAGAGGGAAGAACTCTTCATTAAATCTTATAACTCTCAGTAAAACCAGCACAGATGAAGGGAAGAACATGGAGGCCTATCCTACAGTATACCTGCTCCATCAGGGCTGGGGTAGAGAAAGTAGGGTAGAGGGGTAGCACTGTCTTAAATCAAAAGGGGAAAAACAAGAACCCTGAAAATCTACCCTCTCCAATAATAACATCAGTAAGTACCCCAATGCCCTGGGTTAAAGGAACTAAGTGCACTTATTTAAGCCTGAGAGATGATATCATCCCTCATCTAGGGTTACAGGGTCTACCTCCCCCATTCATCCACATACCCCTCCTTAACTAAGGAAGTTTTGTTTATTTTGAGTGCATGCCATGTACCCCTGTCCTCCCTTTTCCCCAACACAGTAATTGCATGGGCTTGCCTCTTTTACCCCCTCATCTTCCCAAAATACCACAAACCAACCCAAGTCTGTTTTCAATTCCCAGGCATTATTCCTTCACCTCTCTTCCCACACAACCCCCTCAAAGAACAAAGCAAAACAAACTTTACTCATCCCTATAGAAAAATATCCATTGACTCAGGGTCCCTCATCCTTAGAATGGAGAGTTTGTTTAATGCCTCAATAGTTACCTTCTCAAATTAAAAAAAAAAAAAAGTTAATTTATTTCTTAATACAAAGCTATAGGGCCTAAATAAAGTCCTATTTTACCATACTCATTCACCCCTAGCCCACCCCCAAGAATTTCCACCTTTTTTATTTGAAAAGAGGTCAAAAGGAATTAGGATTAATTTATAAATCGAAACAAAAACAAACATGACACAAAGTTTCTGGTTTTGTTCATTTGTCCTCAGTTTTTAAAAACAGAAGTATTAGCTAGAATCTAATAACAGATCAAATCCAAACACAGCAGTCCAGTAGAGAATCAACACTTTCCTGGTTTTATTCTCTGGGAAAACCCCTGGTCTGTTTCCATTCCTATTGGTCCAGGCCAGAATCCTATGATAACGATGGATGCCTATGGGAAAGACAGGTGAGCTGTGAAAATTTAAGGTGTGAGCTTGAGCCATCTGCTGGTTGGGTGCATGTTAGGGATGGAAGTTCACCAGGTGGTGGTCTCACCAGTGTTGTTCTAACCCCAGAAACAGGGTGAGGTGAGCAAGGCACTCAGACTTTGGGCACAAAAGTTAAAGGGTGCCCAAAAACCCAGTATTTTTTGAAAATCAAAATTTTAATGCAGTATTTTTTGAAAATCAAAACTAATGTAGAAAACTCCACAATGAACAAAGTATCAAAACTTTAAAGACAAGATTCAATCCCGTACTTGCTCCATTCAGCCTTACTTCCCTCACCCTAATCCCAGTTCTGTTGGATGCTGTCTTGATTTTGATATTTTGTTCATCATGGATTTTTTGCATTGATTTTTTTAAAATACTGCAATAAAACAGTATTTATCTTGATTACTGAGTTTTTCGGCACTCTCTTAAGTTTTGTACCTGAGGGGAGTGCTCTTCTCATACTAGTCCCAGTCCAGATATATATACATTCCCTCCTTTGGAACCTATTTCCTTTGACCTCATTGCTTGCCTAACACCAGTCTATTTTCAGATAAAAGCCTAAGAATTAATAGCCATAGGACATGATTAAACCAACAGACTATCCGATTCGGAAAATAAGTGACTTTCAAGTTTGTTGAGGAGAAAGGAACCTTTCTAAACTGTGAGAAGTTCCAATGAAGAGGACAGTCTTGGCTGGCTTTGTTACCAAGGGGGAAATATGATGACAACTTTCCTGATTGGGCAGAAGCAAATACGAGTCACCCAACACATACACCCAGCCTATCTCTGCCTTAGATCAAATGTGGGGATTACATTCCACGGGATGGGTTATGCGTACATACCTCAAAAGAGAAATCTAAATACAGAGAAATAGCCCCAAGTAACACTCTGGACACTTAAGTATACTTATTCCCCTTCTTCATATGCACCCAGGAGTGTATACAATTGCATAGTTGATTTTTTTCCCCAGAAAAAAAAATAAAGAAAAAGGAAAATCGGCCCAGGATAGGTCCTCCAGTTTAAAGCTCTTAGAAATGGTGCTGGCCAGAGCATAGGCTGTCCAGACTTGTGCTTTGTGCAAAATGCAAAGGAGCTCCCCCTATTGTGTCCACAGGCCCACTCCCACCCCCTGGGGGAAAGGGTTGGGTCAGGGAAAGGGGGAAACCCAAAGACAGATCAGCTCATTGGGAGTAATCTGTGATCTGTGGTTATAGTTCACTAAAATAGATTTCTCTACCTTTTTATAAATTGCCCCTAACCCCTATCCCATGTTTCAACATCAGTCCTATTATCAAAAATATCTCTTACAAATTTTTTTTATTATTTTAATAAACTAACCACAGATTAAGGTCAGCTATGGCTTAACAAAAGAAGCCGGGATGTTACGTTCTTTCTCCAAAAGTAGAGAGGAAGAAGAATCATTTAAATAGGAAAAAAAATATCAGTCTTTAAAATGTTTTTGCTTGCTGGGGTCTTTTTGTTTGTTTCTTTTCCGGAAAAAAAAAAAATAGTCAAAAAAATAAGTTGCTTTCTACAGAAACACAGCAGCAGAGGATGGTAGTGCTCTATTCAGGTTTTTGGTTTTGTTTGAAACAGTCTGGCCAAACGTCTGTCCTTCTCCTACCCCTCCCAAGGCGCATTCAAACCGCAATGTGTGGTTATTGCTAAGTAGTTAAAAAAGATCACCCCTGTGCCAACTCACCTGGAGAAAATCCAACACACACCGCTGCTCTTCCCTTCCCCACAGGGAATTTTTTTTAATAAAATTAAAGTCTTAAAAAAAAAAATCACAACCTTCTTAACTTAGCTGAGCTCAAACCTCAAAAAGGATGAGGAAAAGATAGGGGGCAATCAGCAATCTCCTCTTGAACTAGAACAGATGACCGATGGCTGTTTAGAAGGAAGTAAAACTTAAGAGGAAAAGGATTCTCCTTTTAAGTTCCTCCCTTACCCATCTCAATAAACCAATTTAATCTACCTCCCTCCTAATAAGCACCCATGAGCACACATTACTGCCTTGTCTTTCCAGATCCTTCAGGAGGAAGAATTTATCCAACCCTAATTTCCACCTTAATTCAAATTAATAGCAAATTTGTGTAATTTCCCATTTTCTTTCCCCACTCCCGACTCCACCACCATGTGCTTTTTTCCAACCTAAAAGAACTTTGGTCTGCTTTTTCTTTTATTAACTGAGAACCTCCTTTGCCTGTTCCTCCTCCAGACTTCTGCCCACCTCCCCACCCCCACACACCAAACCTTCCCCTCCTACTTTCCCTTTGGTCCTGGGATAGACCCAAGGGGTTATGCGACAGAATCACCATCTTTCCCCCCTTGTACCTCCTCAGTCCCATCAAGTCAAGATTGGCAAAGGACTAGTACAGCCCACGAGGCACCGTCCAGCCCTGACCTGCTCTTGCCAGCCTGGCAGCTCTCCAGGGCACACACACTTCAAAGTTTCTAGCCAGGCTCCCAGAAACATTACTGCATTTGCCCCGTCAACATGGGGGCTGGGTCTTGATGAGCCAATTAGTTGAGCTTAACTTTCTTTGTTTAGCCCCCTTGCCCGCCAAGGTTCCCTCATTCAGAACCTGTGCACCAGCAACTCCCCACCGGGTTCACGTTCCCTCCTCCTCAGTTCTTCCCTGTAACAGCAGGAGCAGAAGTTGTTTGTCTCAGGGTGTCCATAGAAGCTGCAGTTCGGTTGTTTGCATTTGGTCTGGGTTGGGGGAAGCCCCCGGGCACTTCCGGCCCATCCATCTGGCTCAGGGGGCTCTCTGTAGCCATTGCTATAGGAATCAGTAACGCGGAAGGTGGGTGGTAACAATGCACCCCTGTGAACTCCATCCTTGGAGTGACTGCCTGGCTCCAGAGAAGGGATGCTGTCCTGATGGGGGTAGGGTCGCCCAGGAGGGCATTGTCTGGGGAAGGTGGCATATGGTGGTAGGCCCCCAACACATGGACCCCCTGCCAACTGCCTCCGGGGTTCCTGGCAGTGGACTCCACCCCCAGAAGGCCGAGGGATAGTAAAGCCCCCAGGGTAGCCAGTAGAGAATGCCGTTGTCTTGGACTCTGCTGGGGGGGCAGTCAGCAGCTCCTCCCCGCCATCTGGCTCTGGCTTTTTGGCTGGAGGAGGCCCACTCCCTGCTCCTCCGTTCATAATCTTCCTCTCTGCCTCCTTCTGCTTCTGCTCTGCCAGGAATCTCTCCTCCGCATCAGAAAGGTAGCGCTGGATCATCTCCTCCTGATATTGGTGACGGTGACCCATCTTCAGGGTTCCAACAAAAATAAATTTCCCCTCCCCTTGCATTGCAATCCTCATAATGCTCAGGCTTTGCATCACCTCCTGGCTATACTTGCTACCTCCATTACCAACAGACTCAGATGTAGGCTTCTCAGATACAGGCCCATCCCCAGCTGCCTCCTCCTTACCACCCTTCCAGCTCTTCAGTGTGTTTTTCTTCTTCTTCTCCAGTGTCTCAGTGCCACTGCTTACCCCTGACCCCATTCCCATCCCTCCAGGCTTAGAACCCTTGCTGTGCATCAGGCCTCCCATGTTCTTCTTAAGCTTGCTCCCCAAGGTTTTGCCAAAGCTGCCCAGTTTGTTAGCCACAGAATCTGCCCTCTTCTTGTCCTTCTCCCGATCTCGTTTTGACTTCTCTTTCCGCTTGCTGCCCTCATTGCTGGTAGAACTGCTGCCAACTGACTCCTTGTCTGATTCCCCAGACTCAGGAGTGGACCGGGGCTCATCTCCAGCCAAGGCTGTGGGGGACTCAGGCTGGGCCAGGGGAGCCTAGAAGAGACAAGAACAGTATTGACAGTCATCCCATTGGTCTGAGTTGAGGGAAGCCCCCAGGGACCTCTAGCCCACCCAGCTGGCGCTCATGGGGCTCCCTGCAGCCACTGATGTAGGAATTAGTCATGTGGAAACAGCATAGTAACACCCCTACAAACTCCATTCTTGGAGTGACTGCCAAGTTCCGTGATGGGGTCCCCCAGGAGGGCATTGTTCTTCCCCAGCTCAGTCAGCTCTCCCATAGACCAGGGAAAGATGTATCTAATATTTAACTTTTATCTCACCCCCTGCAATTTGACTCCCTTCTATAATAAGGAGATATCAAAATGAGGCCTGACTGTTCTTCTAGAGCAGTGAGCAACTATACAATACGTGGCCTCTGGGTGAGGAGGGAGAATATTCTATAGATACTAGAAGGTCCTTTATTATAAATTTCTCTATGCCAAATTCTGCCCAAAATTAATCTCAAGCATGTCTTAACTAACCACAGCCAACCAAGTCTAACCATGCTGCATCCCCCTAGACATTCAGCCCTGGAGTCCATCAATTTGCCCTGGCTCCTGTGTTCCTGATCTATGGATAATAATGACGTCCTCAGAACCTCCTGAATCAGGAGCTCTTTAAGCTATTCTGTCTCCTCTGGTGCCCAACACAGAGGTCTATGTATAGAGGGCTTGGGACAAAGTAATGACAATCTCAAGCTCACCAAAAAGTCCAAAAAACTTTTCTTGAAGAATGTGTGTTAGTATCAGAAATCAGAGCTTGGTTGGAGAGGAGATGTGGAAAACAGAGGGCAGTGACAAGTAGAAAGGCAGGAAAAAGTGTCTTTTGGAACTTATCTGATATTTTCCAGTTATTCCTAACCTTGAATCATAAGCCACCACTCAGAAGAGATTCAGAAGGAGACCACCACCAGATGTCCTTGTTCTGTCACTGAAAATGAGGACGTACAAAGGTGAGGTGGTTGAGAAGTCCTCACCTGTGCATCAGAGGACACTGGGATCCACTTCACATTCATGTAGCTATGAAGCAAATGCAGTTTGACCTCTAGGGACAGGATTACACTGTGAAAAGGAGAAAAAAGAATTAAAAACATACTGTGACCTTTAAAAAGCAAAGCATTGTGATCCAGTTGGGAGGTGGGCTGGGAGAGGACTACATGGCTTGGGACTCAGACAGGGTTGGGTTTGAGTTATAGCTCTACCAAATACTAAAGCTTTATGACCTTCAGCAAGTCACTTCAACCTCCCCGAAACTCAGCTGGGGTTGACAATGGGGACAGATAATAATATCTATCCTGTGGGGTTGTTGTTAAGATTAAAATGGTATTTGGAAAGGGCCCAGCACAGTGTCTGGAAAATAGGAAATACTAAACAGTAGCCATTATTATTGTTGTTGTTATAAATATTATTTAAAAGGAGCTTTTGATAATCAGGTGAGAACTTTTTAAAAAGCCGTAAACTCTGGGTTTTTGAATCAATCCCTCTCAGTTGGGTCCCAGTTTCAGGAGCCCAAAGAAGGAAGCACAGGGTAAGAGGTAAGGAAGGAGCTTTTAGATTCATATGCCCTTCACAGGAAGCTGTGGAGGGAGGTAGGAGGAAGGGTAAACCAGATTCCGGGAGGCGGGACGGGGGGTAGGGGAGAATGTGTTTTCCTTGCTGTTTAAATTCCAGAAAGGCAAAAATCAAGAGCAAACTATTTTGGTCAACTACTTAAAAATCCTCTCACTTGAGCCAGAGAAGTGTGATTTGATTATCTTGATTTTCTGATTACTATTTTGGGATTCTGGGATGTATCAATGTACGAACACTCTTCATAGTAAAAGGAAAGAACAAGTCCATCTTCCCAAAGATACTGGAGCTAGGATATGACAGTCTTGCCTCAGAGCTGAGGAAAAGTCCCTGGGAGACAGATGCTGTATGTGGAAGAGATGGCAGCTACAAAGCAGATGGAAGGGCTAGGCCTGCCTCACCTGGCCAATCGGACATTGTCATTGTCATCTTTGCCCCATTCCCAGCCCTTTCCAGGGTCCACAGCAAAGTGCAAGGGCAGCAGCTTATGCTCTGAATCTGTAAGTGGGATCACAGCTGGAGAGGAAAAAACATGACATCAAAGAGTCTCCTTGAGGAGAGACCAAGGCAACTGAACACAGTCTGACTTAACTAAAAAGGAGGCTGAATCATAACACAGGTCTCTAACTGAAGTCACTTCTCAACTCTTACATGTAAATTACCCTAGCATTAAAAACTAACAGACTGGGAGGGCTGGCCCAGTGGCGGTCAAGTGCGTGTGCTCCGCTACGGCAGCCTGGGGTTTGCAGGTTCGGACCCCGGGCACGCACTGATGCACCGCTTGTCAAGCCATGCTGTGGCAGCGTCCCATATAAAGTAGAGGAAGATGGGCACAGATGTTAGCCCAGGGCCAATCTTCTTCAGCAAAAAGAGGAGGATTGGCATCAGATCTTGGCTCAGAGCTAATCTTCCTCACACACACACACAAAAAATCTAACAGACTGGTTTTCCCTTAATATCCAGCACACAATTTAGGCCACTAATCTCCATGACTCCCCACCAGTCAGTCAACTAACACTCATGATGTTCTTGCCAGTGAATGTGAATTCAGGGAATTCAAAATCATTATTAAGACAAATACAGCAAAGCATCATTTGGAAGGTTATGACCTCAATACATATGCTCTTTACTCCAGAATAGGGAGCAGGGAAGAGAAACTACTGTGTTTTTCCCCCAAACCATTTTCTTTTTTCTTAATCCTTCATTTTAAAACCCTGGTATATCTTATAGCTTAGTAAAACAGTATCAATATACGTGCTGTCTGGGCTTCATGTCACTTAATTCTTTCTTCTTACATTCTCTATCTGTTTTTCCAAATGAAAATAAAGCAAACCAAAAGACACCAGAGACACAGACATTGCATTCGATACCTTGTTCCTTGGCATTCTCCTTCTGTTCCATGGACACAAGTGCAGAAAAGTGGGCCTGATCGTAGGCGAGCACCAGAGGTGAGCGGTGACACTGGCTGGCTGGGACCTCCAAGGGCAGATAGATTCCCCCAAAGGGAATAGGGGCGAATGCTACAGGAAACCATGAAGATTATTATCAAGGCTATGTTCTTGCCTAGTGGGCAATCCCTCCACCCCACTGCCAATTGAGTCATCCCTTTCATTCCAACCCCTGTTTAATAATTCTTTCCTGAGAAGCCCCATCAATTAACCCCAACTGCTTTCCTCTGAATCTCTTGAGAATTTTGTATTATTCTAATTTATACCTTGTTTTTTCCCAAGGGTCTATATTTCCCCTTTCCTGCCCTCCTCCCAGTACTTAGCCCAAGGCTCTGCAAATAGGGGATGCTCAGGCTGGAGTGAGGATTAACTGACTCACCTTCCCCACCGGAGTCCCTCAGCATGGTGTCTGCCACGACGACTATGGGCCTCCTAAGCACATGGGCAAGGACAAAGACGTGGAATTCTTCTAGGCTCTCATATACAGGCTCCTCTGAACTCTCCACCCTAGAGTTGCAAGAGGGGAGACAGTGGAAGGGATACAGTGGAAGGGAGAGGGAAGAAAACAAAACAAGAGACCCCTGAAGACCAGTTCTGCAAAGAGGAAAAAGAGACTATCCTTTTCTGGTTTTCTAACCTTAAGGCTGCCACAGACATAGCTGATTATTTTATGCTACCATGGCTATTTCTACTTCCATTTCACAGATGGGAAATCTGAGAAAAGAGATTTGAAGGCTCTAGGGTTAAAGTAGTGTTAGGAATCTGAAGGTAATCCCTCTCTTAATACCCATGTTGTTCAACAACCTTTCCCAATTCTCTTTATCCAGTAGCTCAGTACACAACTGTGTAGCCTCATCCTGCTTACTTTACCCACCACAACCACTCACACATCACACTCATCATGTCCTACAAAAAAAAAAAATTCCTCCTCCTATGTTCCCTTACTTGAAGAACAGCCTCACCATCTACCTAGTGAGCTAATCAGAAATCTGTGAAATAGTTATTGTTCTTTATCTCTGATCTTCAATTAGTCACCTGGCTTAACCAATTCCATCTCTTAAGTGTCTCTTATATCTGTCTCCTCTGGCCCATCTGCAATCTACCACTCCTGCTCACACCCTCTCCTTCCTGGATTACTACAACAGCCTCTAGTCTCATTCTCCTGCACTTCGTCATCTACTCGGCTGTCAGTGTGTTCAAACACACGAATTTGCCCCTGTCACTTACATACTCATAATTCAGTGGCTTCCTGCCCCCTAAAGCAATGTTATTCAACATTGGGTGCTTGCTACAAATGCAGATTTCTGGGCCTTACATCAGTCCAACTCAACTGGACTTCCTTAGGGTGGAGGTCCAGAAATCTGCATTTTAAACAATCCTCTCAGATTATTCTTATGCACAATAGAGTTTAGATAGGTTATAATTTTTAACTTTTTATTACAGAAAGTTTCAAAATTTTAAACATACTCAAAACTAGAAAGAATATTATACTAAACTCTCATGTATCCATCACCCAGCCTCAACAATTATAAACACATGGTCAATCTCGTTTCACCTAGACCTCAATCTATTTCCCTATCAGCCCCCAGCCCACCCCACCAGATTATTCTGAGGCAAACTGGACACCATATCATTTCATCCATAAATATTTCAGTTTCTATCTCTAAAAAATGTCTCCTTTTAAAAACAACCACAATACCATTAATATCACATTTAAAAAATTTTACAATAATCAAACATAGACATTGTGCACATTTCCCCAACTGTCTTATAAATGTCCATTCCGATTGGTTGATATGTGTTTTTTTTTTTTTTTAAAGATTTTATTTATTTTATTTTTTGCCCCCAAAGCCCCAGTAGATAGTTGTATGCCATAGCTGCACACCCTTCTAGTTGCTGTATGTGGGACGCGGCCTCAGCATGGCCGGACAAGCGGTGCATCGGTGCGCGCCTGGGATCCAAACCTGGGCCACCAGTAGCGGAGTGCATGCACTTAACCACTAAGCCACAGGGCCGGCCCCTTAACTGTCTTTAAACTTAGGTTCCCTCTCCCTTTTTATTTTCATTGAAATTTATTTATTGAGGAAACTGGGTCATTTGTACTGCAGTTTCCCAAAGTCTGGATAGGATACAATTTTACTTCCTTAGCGTGATTCAAGAGAAACCTTAGCATGGCACACAAAAATCTGGATTGCCCAGCATCATCTCTCTCTCATTCTGCACCATGAACTCTATATTCCAGCAACACTGAAGTACCTGTAGGTCCTAGAACATACCATCCTGTTACACCCTTGCCATGGCTCCTCTCTTTCCTTCTAACATCCTCTTAGCACAGAGCTCTTTGGACACTGAGGACTCAGTAAAGATTGTTTCCTGCTCCCCCACTTAGCCATACTTACCCACCACAATTGGCTCCATTGGTACCTAGATGCATGCGGGGTTCACTTGAGGCAAGCTTGATCAGCTCATTCCATTCCTTCTGCCATTCATCCTCTGTGTATACCAACCCTGACTGTGTGAAAGACAGGCAGGGATATCAAGCAATTAGAGGCTAGGTTCAACAGGCAATAGCCATTCCAACTCACTCACATTACCCCACTCCCTATTCTATTAGCACCTGGCTTACAATTTGTACTACAAAGTCAAATCTCCTTTTTATAGTCAAGATTCACGAAAGAAAAGTCTATGATCTCTCTCACACTTCTTTCTCTTCCATTCTCTTCTGACCCATTCCAATCTAGCTTCTGTTTCAGCCCTCCAGCATACACCCCTCACCCCCTACATATCACTTAACCTAACTGACTCTGGCAAAGGACAATGACCTTCTAATTGCCAAATTCAGTGGACTCTTTGGTTCTCATCTTTCTTAGCCCTCATTTGGCATTTGATCTCCTCTTTAAATTTTCTTCTCCCTTAACTTCCACGCTACTTTCTCCTCCCTCTCTGAACTGTGTCTACTCTAGAAATATTGGTGTCATGTCAATGTTTTTAGCTTTGTTCCTTCTGGGTGATATCTTCTACTGCCATAATCTCATGTACTGCCATCTATATGCTCAGGACTCTAAAATCTCACTCTCCAGCCCAGAATTCCTCTTAATTTCTGTATTCACATCCAGCTGCCCACTGAAAATGGCCACTTGTCCATGACTACCTCAAACTCTATACAGTCAAAACTGAACTCCTACCTCTTCCAAAACCCACTCTTCTTCCTATATTCCTACCTTAGTGAATAGCACTATCTATCACCCAAACACCCAAGACAGAAACCAGGGAGTTATCTAAGACTCCTCTCCTTTCACCCACCCCACACTTGGATCCCTTTAGTCCCTGGATTCTTAAGTATGAACTATCGCGATGGATCCTTAACTGGTTTTACTACCAGTCATACATTCTTCTGATCCATTTTCTACAATGCTACCAGAAAGACTTTCCTAATATTGAAATCTGATGATGTTTGCTCCCTGCTACAAATTCTTTTAAGAACTGTCACGGGATATTAGATATAGGTCAAACTCCTTAGCATAGCATACAAAGTCCATTTCCTGGCCATTCCCTACCTCTCTAGTCTGATATATCATTTAATTAGCTGGAGTTCCTTGAATGCACCATGTTGTTTTATACTTCTGAGCTTTTGTGTAGTTTGTTTCTTTTGCCTGGAGCAGCCCATTCCAACCGTCAGGAGAGAACTCAAGTATCATTCCTCTATGAAGCCTTTCCGAAATCTCCCTGGTAGATTGACTACTCCTTCTCTTGTGCCCTCCCTCCTCAACTGCTATACAGACTTCTAGCATAGAAGTCGTAAACTGTTACTTTGTTGCAATTATGTATTTACATGTCCATCTCCTATTGCTACTCTTAAGGGCGGGGACTATGTCTTATGCAGTATGCCTAGTGCCTACTATGTGATCAGTAATCAATAAATACATGCTGAGTGAAACTATAATTTTTATCAAAGGAGTGGGAGAAGTGGTATAAACAATTTCAAAAAATCATATTGACTTTAGGATCTATATGATGATTTGGGAGACAGTCTACCTTATTAATTATATTTGCTTACATTCGTATTAAAATAAGTTTATGTAGCTTAAACACACACTGAGAGAGGAGAATCACACTGGAAACATGAGGGGCATCAGGAACAAATTTAACAGGAATGAAAGAGCTGTTGCGAGCACATTTTACTTTAATAATAAAAAAAATGCCAAAGCTATTTTCAGTTTGTAAAATGCTGTCACAAGTTTTTTCACTCAAAAATTAAGAGCAGGGGCCAGCCCGGTGGCATAGTGGTTAAGTTTGCACACTCTGCTTCGACAGCCTGGAGTTCATGGGTTTGGATCCCAGGTGTGGATCTACACACCACTCATCAAGCCATGCTGTGGCAGTGTCCCACATACAAAATAGAGGAAGACTGGCACAGATGTTAGCTCAGGGCTAATCTTCCTCACCAACAAAATTAAAAGGACAATGCACAGGTTATATATGGGGTGCTCTGGTCACTCTGCTATATGGTCCCCAATACACATCCAGGAGGATCTGTCTCCCTCTTCCTCTCACCTGTTTCTGCTTCCTGTTTTTATACACATAGCCACTAGGTGGTGTACCCTTCTAGCCTGAAAATGTTCTTACTGGGTTTTACCACCTATTTCAACACAAAGGAGGCTCGGGAAATCAAAACTACTTTAGTTTGTTTGGTGTTTGGTACTGGCTACAAGAAACTCCCCAGTCCATCACCCCTCTCCCCACATTCCCACTCCCAAGGTGGGGTATAATGCTATGAATGGTGAGCTAAAGCAATTATCTAGGCCACATTTCCAGTATGGAACTTTCAATGTGCTGAGTAAAAAGATTGCTCCTTTGCTAACCACTCTTTTCTATGCATGTATTTCCATTGGGGACTTTGAGAGGGAATAAGTGGCTGACCAAAAATAGAACTTGGGTATTTCTGGGTGTCCTGGATAAATCCATCATAATCTAACCCCACTTTTAAAATAATAACTATAATAGCTTAATAGCTGGAATTGGGCACACCAATTGTCTGACTGTTGCTGTCACTTCTACTTAATAGCTAGCATGCTCTGGTTTGGCCTTTTCTTGTCTCTAGAGTGGGAAAATCTAAGGTTCAGCTCTGGTGTGAATTCAACAGTGAAGAAGGCAAACTCTAGCCTGGCTCCAGCTAAGGCAAAAGAAATTCTCCACAAGGTCAAATCCAGCTCACCAGGGAGCCATGGGGTTTGGTGGTGATAAAGAATGCTGTTTACTTGGCCTTGCCCCGCATTTATTTCCCTCAGGAATCTTCTGGGGTAGGTAGGCTGATCAAAGGTAGGATTCTGATCTTAATATCATCCTAATTTTAACAATTGGATTCTTTGTTTTTGAGAAAGAAACATAACACATTCTACTCACATATTTTAAATCTTCAGGACATAAAATTCTTTTTTTTTTTTCTTGTGAGGAAGATCAGCCCTGAGCTAACATCTGTTGCCAATCCTCCTCTTTTTGTCAAGGAAGACTGGCCCTGGGCTAACATCCATGCCCATCTTCCTCTACTTGATATGGGACACCACCACAGCATGGCTTGACAAGCGGTGCTTCGGTGCGTGCCCGGGATCCGAACCTGCGAACCCTCGGGCGGCCAAAGTGGCGCGCACGCACTTAACCACTACGCCACCGGGCCAGCCCCTGAGGACATAAAATTCTAATAACTAAAACAAAAAAATCTCTTAGTTCTACATTATGGCCAGCTATGATAGAACAATAAATGGAGAAAAGAAACAACATGGGAAGAAAAAGATAAGTTTCTGAAGAGATATTCCCATATTAATGCCAGAAACACCTAGCCATATACATGGCAAAATACAGATATACATGAAGAGCAGGAGGTAAACATAGAAGACAGAGAGAGAATCAGGGGAAAAGCAAATAGGGAGACCCATTATCTCTATGTAAATGTGTAATGTCATTATTAAAGGGCAAGAGTCCACAAACTTTTTCTGTAAAGGGCCAGACAGTAAATCTTTTAGGCTTTGCGGGCCATGTGCAACTACTCTATTCTGCTGCTGCAGCAGGAAAGCACTTACCTAAACATACACATGTAAATGAATGGGTGGGGCTGTGTTCCAATAAAACTTTTTTTTTTTTTTTTTTACAAAACCAGTTGGTGGGATTTGGCCCATAGGCCATAGTTTGCCCAACCCCTGTTATGGGGATAGAAAGTACAAACAGTCCATTGTTACTTTCTTACACAAAAGCAACCTCGACATTTGCTAAACCCCTGAGAAGTACCATTCAAACTCAATTTAACAGGCATGCTTTTAACATTTTTAAACAAACAAAATGAGTATGTGAAAAACGAATGGTATATATGGCCAAAAAAATTTTTAAGCATTTACATTTCTATAAGGGTTGAAAACATAAGTCCTTAAAAATTGGTCTAGCCTTATTATAAGCAAAAAAACAAAACAATAAAAATCCTATGGACTTGTCATATGTCATTTTGCAAAGGACTGCCACTAAAGGCTTATTGAGAGCCCACCAGTGAAAAGTACAATGTTAGATACCTCCTCTATAGGTCTCTGCTTCCCCACACCAGTTCTCATGACTGTATCAGAAGGCATCTACCCTATGGTGTTATCTGCATTTTCTACAATTTCCAGGATTACAGGAGGAGGTTAACACCGACCTAAGCACCTGGAGACATTTCCTACTGGTAGGCACTGGGCATTTCCCCTAGGTAACTTTGGGGAATGAGGTGCTCCCATCCAAGCCCCCTCACCTCTTTATTCTGCTGTGTTTGCTGCCACCTCCAGCGCCGTTTTAATGCTTCCTTCTCGGCTCCCTTTTCCATCAGGGCATACAAAGCTTTCCGCAGCATCAAGTCCCTGTCATGGAAACCCCACATCCCTACAACAAGAAAACCTAACAGTAAAGACACCTTACTTTGACTCAACTCAACTTATTAATTATGATACACAGACTCTGGCATGAAGGAAATCAGGCTGAAGCCCAGATTCAAAGAAACCCCTGCTGTGACTTAAGGGAAAGGTACTTAAGAAAGAAAAGATGTTCCTACTCTGGAAGTTCAGAAACTCTGAGTGGGGAATACACCACATACTACAAACTCCTGACAGGAAGCCCTTACTCCTGATGCAAGTCTAACCAACTAAAATAAAGCACAGCAGCAGATAAAATGGGTCTGGCACATGGCAATCAGCATCAAAGCTTGAGGGATGTTTGGAAAATGGGGACTTTTTTAAAAGCTAAGGCAAATAATATATTGAATTATAAATAGGCTTTATAATTTAAAGTAAACATGTCTCACAAAGGACTGATGAAAACATATTTTTATACATCAAAAGAATAAATATTAAGTAGAATTATATACACACACATACAGCTATATACTTCTTGCTTACTGCTGCTCATTACTTCTGGGGGTCACCTCTCAGAGTGGGACCCATGCTAAACCCTATATTCTCCCCACAATCCCTGAACAAGACTGGAAAACTTAGGGAGGTTCTGAGTTGACACACACACACACACACACACACACACTCTTGCTCTGAATCATCACTTCTGCCTAACATCAAGGTGGGTTGGATTAAGTCCTGCACATGAGATTCAACTCTATCGTTTCCTTTCTACAAGGGAACGGAGGACCACTTTCAAGACGTACCAAGAGAGGCTGCATGCAGGAGGCAGTTTCCGTCTCCAGTAGTTGCCAAAGGAAGCAGCCTCTGACAGGTGGGATCCACACTCACCCACCAGTTCAAACGCCCTACAGAAACAGGAGGAAAAGGAGAGGAGCACATTATCCATAAAGCCCTTTCCACTTCCCGATTTCTAAAACAGACTCCAAATCTGCCTCCTCTAGGAAGCCTACCCAGAATAAAACCATAACTCTATTTCTCTTTATATCTTCTTTACTTATACCTAGTCGATCAGAAACTGGTGAGCACGATTGGTTAGATCAGTGGTTCTTAAGTGAGGTAAATTTTGTCCCCAAGGGGACATTTGGCGATGTCTGGAAATATACTTGGTTGTCATAACTGATGGGGGATGCTACTGGCATCTAGTGAGTAGAGGCCAGGGAGGCTGCTCAACACAATATAATGCACAAGGCAGCTCACACAACAAAGAATTATCTGGTCCTAAATGTTAGTAGTACTAAGATTGAACAACCCTGGGTTTGATGATGAGGCCAAGGTCATAGATTGAAATCTGTGTTGGCTATTTGGTCTGGCTCTGATTCCTTCACTCTGGTCAGGAGACTAGTAAATACTGTAGCAACAAACTCAGCACAAATCTATCATTGGTAAAATAAAAAGAACCCAAAGCATGTATTCAAAATGTCATGCAAGTTTCAACTGCATATACGATAGTCAGCATGTCAGCATGCATGCAGTGTGACTTGAAAGACAGGAGCAATACGACAAAGTACATAAAACACCTGAGAAAGAGAGTCTCAATTCTGTACAGTCATCCTACAATTGCCAATCCATTATATACATGAGGAAAATATTTTATGAATGATGTTTAAAAGTTTTCTTAAATTACTGAAAAGTCTACAGAAAAAAAAAACTGGCCTATAATCTCACTAGCCAGATAACTTCTAACTTTTAAAACAATTATAAATAGATGCACATGGTTAGTATAGAAGGGTACAAAATGAAAAAGCTTCTTTTCTGTGCCCCCTCCTCTTACTCCCCAGTCCTTGTTCCATGGGAGTTTTTAATACCTGACTAGCTTTCCCAGAACTCCCAGCTGCCTCAACCCATCATATTAACTAATTTTAACAATAATTTAAGACAAACACAATTGTAAAGGTAAATAAATCTTTTAAGAAAGGTTCATATAAATAAATGTGACTTTTAGATTAATTGCTACTGTGCATCATCTACAGCATTGGTTCTTTCATTCATAAGGCTGTTCCAGAGCCAATTATAATTCATTTGTATTTTTTTCACACATTGATTTTTTTATTGATTCCTAGACTTTTCATGTGTGTTTCTGGTTTCCCTTCCATCAAACAGGAAATTTCCAGAGGAAAGTGTCTAATTTGTGTCCTTTCTTTAACTTGAAGAAGCACCTAGCTCAGTACATGTTTATCTGACTGATGCTGACTGACTGTGACTGCAATCAGATCACACACTTAGACTGCAAGCTACTGGTCAAGCCCAGCCCCTCCGTGGAGAGCAGAGGGAAGAGCACAGGAAAGGAAGCACTCACTGACCTGCCTGTTCCAGGGCAACCAGCATGGACTGCTCAATGAGGTCTCTCTCTATGAAGCTGCGGAAGTCTTCATTGTACACAGTGAGATCTGGAAGCTGGAAGGCACAGATGGGCATTTCCAGGGGGTGCTCACTGCTCCCCCCACCCCCACCATTGGAGGAGACATGGGACCGGGCCAGGGAAACAATGCTGGAGCTGGCGTGGGAGATGCCCCTAGACAGGCGTTTTTCTGCAATGAGAAATGGAGTCACCTTAGAACATACACAGCCCACTCAGAGAACTTTCCACTCATGTGGTGATGGTTACCTCTTGACAAAGTTTCCAGTCAGGGAAAAACCGTGAGTCTAACTGGCTACCAAATTTTACAACCCTCTTTCTCAAGCCAAACACAATTGGAGAAATACAGAAAGTGGTATTTTTGCAGGCATTCACATACATTCCTCTTTCTACCCTTTTTGGAATTTGCCTGAACAACTTCTCCCTATGACTCTGTCTTCTTCCACTTCCATTTCCCAACATAATAGGGACCCATTCCATCTGGCAATTTGGTCATTGTTTGGTGGGAGGAAGAGGGAATAAGGGAATGGGGTTTCATTTGGCTAGACTGAGTCAAATTATCTCTCTGATAATTTTCAAGGTCTTGGAAATGTAGAAAAGGATTTCCATTATAGAAAATCAATGACAAATCTTACACATTCAGGAACTTTCTTACCTACCATCAATAACATTTATTTATATTATTTATTACAACTTTTCTTGATACTCATATTTATCAGAAATTTATAGGTACAGTCAATTCTTACTTAACATGCTACAGAGGAAGAGAGTAATGTAGATAGTGCCCCGAATTATTTCATTTGTTTTGACTACATGGCACTTACAATTCCCCAGCAGATATTCCATTGTGATCATAATTTGCTCAGTGTAGTATTATAATTCATTTGCATGGCTTGAGTTATATAAAGATTATCAAAAGAGCTAAAAATTGTGTTGGGTAGCAATTCTTAATCCAATGTTTGCCAGAGATGATGCACAAAGTAAGACAGGAGCTATCTAAAGTTATTTTATATTGATATTATTTTTTAAACTCTTTTTTTAGGTATTTAAAAAGTGCCAAGTGCCCATGGTAAAAAATCAAAATACTATCAAAATGTATAAAGGGTTACAAAGAAATCTCCCTCTCATTCAAAATTCCTGATCTCTTCCCCAGAGGCAAACTCTTGTATCCTTCTAAAATTGTTTATGCACATAGAAGCACATATAGCTTTTAAAATTATTTTTAAAAACATAAAACAGGAGCATACTATATACACTTACCTTTCTCAATAGATTTTAGAGATTCTTCCAATACAGCACATCAAGTTCTACCTAATTCTTTCTAATGGCTGCAGAGTATTCCACAATATGGATGATTACAATTTATTTAATCACTCCTCTACTAATAGAGATTAAAAGTTATTTTCAAGCTTTAACTTTCAAGCTTTACACTACATATGTGTGTCTATTTATGCATGTATGTATTTATTTAAAGGATATATAAATATACACACACACAAATATACGTAGATGGTAAATTTCTAGAAATGAAATTGCTATATATGCATTTTTAAATTTTGATAGATACTGACAAATATTAACCAAATACCCTCCCAAGAGGCAGATGGTAGTGATCCTTTGAATTCTTTCTTTTTGTGTACCATATGTCAACACTTAGACTGTTATCCTCCTCCCTCTATTTCTTTCACAGCATCTAAAGAAGGCCTTTATACAGGATAACACTCGAGATGCAGAGAGACAGTGAGGGGTTCCAGCACCTAGAGAGATTAAGGCCACCTCTGATCAGTCTGGCTGGGGAGAAGGGGGAGGAATGGAATCATCTTCAAAGGATCACTAAACTCTGACTCCACTTAGTAGTCCCCTCCCTTCCTTTCTACTCTGTAGACAGAAACACCCCTCAGTTACCCCACTACCTTGAATGATGTCATCCTGCCGCTGTAGGGTGGGTCGGGGAGGGCGAGCAGACTCTCTATCAGAAAACGCTTTCTCAGGGGTCCTGGAGCCACCACTCCCTTCACTAAAGGGCGGGGGCAGGTTCCCAGCATGGACTTGACGTAGCTGTTCAAAATCACTGAGGGCAGCACTCATGTCCCAATTCTTTCCTGTCAGGAGACAAAGCAAAAAGTGAATTGGGCACAGAGTATAGGGGAATTGAGGAAAGACAGAGAATGAACACTCTAACCGTCCTATCAAAACTAGCCAGCATATATTCATGTACTTCAGTCATTCTCCTTTTCCATACCCTGCTTTAATTTTCTTCATAACACTTCAATCTAAGATATCACAATTTATTTGTTTACTTATTGTCTATTTCCTAAGTAAGCTCCATGAGCAGAGGAAATTTGTCTCTCTGAACTGAAAGGGCCCTTAGAGACCTAGTAACCTCATTGACAGATAAAGGAAATGAAGCCTAAAGAAGCAGCGTCTTGCCCAAAGTCACAGCTAGTTCACACCAGGGCCCAGCAGGACTCAAGCCCAGGTCTCCTAATTCTGAGATCCAGAGAGTTCTTAGCCTAGAAGTGCTCTAGGGTGTCCTAAACCACCTGAAATTGTATACAAAGTCATAGGTTTATGCATTTTTCTAAAGAAAGAGCTAAGGTCTGTCATCAGATTATCAAAGGGAATCGTTAACTACCCCCAAATTTAAGAACTACTTGAAGAAAACACCCTAAATAATAGATTTGTCATAATGGATTTTTTTGTTGCTTTCTCCAGTTAAATTTTTTTTTTTTTTAAGATTTTTATTTATTTATTTTTTTCCCCCAAAGCCCCAGTAGATAGTTGTATGTCATAGTTGCACATCCTTCTAGTTGCTGTATGTAGGACGCGGCCTCAGCATGGCCGGACAAGCGGTGCGTTGATGCGCGCCC